TCTGATACATATGGTGCAACATCTTGTACGTGTACATAATGTCTTTTTTCAGACTTATTCTTTAGTGTTGATGAATTCATTCCATATTCACATGCAATATACTTAATTTCTTCCTAACATTCCATCTCTTATTAACACGACCTTTGATTCCATAAAAACTGTACTTCTATTTGTACTGAGACTCTCAACACCCTTACCACTTTTGGACTAATAAGAAATGATGGGGTTCTTTTAATACATCTTAAGACATCAGAGATCAAATGAAAGTGTGATAGTGATAACTAACTTTCCCATGAGGCTGCTAATTCCATCTACTTATATCAAGATAAGTATATGTGCCTTAGCTTGATTATTTTCTCTTTTGCACAGAGATGAAATATGAAATTTTATAAGTTGAATATTCGTAAGAGGAACACTTTCATAATGAAAATTTATACAGGAGAGCTTAAAGAAAACAGGAAGTCTCTGGAAATTTATGATAGCTAATGGAATCCTGGGAGCTCTGGTGGCATAGTGCCTAAGGCACTTGAATGCTAACCAGAAGGCTGACGGTTCAAACCCACCAGCCGCTCCTCAGAAGGAAGGTTGGGCAATCTACTTCCGTAGTGAGGGACAATTACATTACATTATATTAGAATATATTGTTGTCATTCTTACTGCTTGGAACTTTGAATATGGATGGAATGGTGTACATGAATTCTGAGTGTTCAAAGGGATGAACTGTAATGAACATGAAGGTTTAGTCTCTGAATCCATTCCAAACTCCTTTTATTGTTCCTCTCTATAAGGCAGAGACTATTAAGCAAAGGCTTCATTTTCCAGACACCATTACAGTTAGAAAAAAACTGGGTCTGAATTAACTTACATCAATCAGATGAATGCCTATAACAAAAGGCAGAAGTGAAGCAGAGGCTATCTTCCTGATGATGCTTGGGCTATTGCTATTGGCAAACACACAGTAGGGTCTTTCTGCTACAACATTTTAATGTCTGATCACTATCTATGAGTTTCAAGAAACAGTTGAGGTGGCAGCAGCGAATCTCCTTCATTTTGGTATTATATCTCCCATGGTGTGTTCTTGAAGTCAGCAGGTCAGTCGGTCAGGGGCTCCTGAGCCTCCACTTTACGGATTATGGCAGAAGCAGCAGCTTCCTGCAATTGTTCTAGAGTCAGCTCCCAGTGGTTTTGTAAGCACCTGATTCTGGGTATTGAATGTATTTCTCCTTAAAATAGCTAATGTTTTCTGTTTCCTGCAATTCAA